TTAGTTTGATTTCTGTGTTATCTTTATGCGAATGCCGCTGACGCTTATCGCCGGTTTTGTCCACACAGACCTTAATGGGCTTAGCCGGGTCGAATGGGGATGGAGCCCCTGCCAAAACCCAAGCAATTTGCTATTTTTGCCGTTTTTATTTAGCATTATAATTTAGTCAGGGTATTTGCGGAGCATAGATTAAGTTTGAGGGAGCCGCGTTCAGGGGAAATAACTCAATTCCTTTTCATAGTCTTATGCTTTATTAAATAAAATGTAAAGGAGCCTTAACTTAACTTTACAAAAAGTAAAAATCATAATAAATCTCAAAGCAAAGTGTATTTAAATCTCTCCTTTTATTTTTAACCATTTACGACTATTACTTCGATGCAGATATATAATATGTGGACTTTGATATATGCGATTTGGGCTGTGCACATATATAGATTCGATATTTACGTATGTGTCCGTCGTAAATGTGGCAAATACCGGCATTGAGTGAGTCAGTTACTGTATGACTTGCCTTCGCTTCGAGTGCATTGTGAGCCTAAATGGAAATAACTCTCTAATTAGTTGCCGGGCATATAAATCAACAAATAAATTATTTGCCGCAGCTCTTATTCGAATGAATATATATACACGTATAAATTTGCCCGATAGTCATGTGCTTATGAATAATTGTGAAGCCAACATTTCAACGATATGCAAAGTGGCTGCTTACGAGTGGGGCAACAATTTAAAGTGCCAGCTATGGCAACGGAATAAAAGGCAAAAAAAAAACAAAAAAGTAAAACAGAAATATCAGAAAAATTCGAGCAAAATTTTAATTAAATTCAGCGTCATCAATCGATCCACGACACTGACACTGACACAGACACTGAACACATGTTCCCAACGCGCGGCCAGAACGGATTGTGTCCGTTCATCTGTCGGAGCATCTAATCTGTTGAGTAATTTCCTTGGCGGCGAATAAAACTTTCTTCTACTCGCTGCTTTGTTTTTCTTTTTGGCTTTTTTTTTAAGTCGAAACTAACGTCAAAGTTGTGCGCGAACTTCGTAATTGATTATCATAAAAATAGCCATGTTAATTAGTGGAAAAAGCTGGCTGAGGAGCTCTGTGGCATTGATCACTGGCCACATCATTAGTGGAGGAAAATCTCGTGCCCTGCTAATGGCATAGATTTCCATCTGTTTTCCAAAGTGGCGGGCCTTCGAGGGTTTTCCCAAAAGTTTCTGAAAGAAAAAAATTGTTTAAAAAGTAGTTAATGCCGGCTACCGTCACGCAAACGAGTTTAACCAACTTTATTCTTGACTGAAGCTGTTGGAAAAATACACACAAAAATACACATTTTTGTCTGGAAATAACTTCTTATATTGGATTAAATCAATGAAATAACTCAAATGCAGATGCTTTTAAAGTATTCATTGAATAAGTTAAATTTGCAGGTTGCCTGGGATTTGAGTCAACTAAAATGGATGTCATCGATGTTTTCAATTTTAATCGAATGTTGCTATATTGTTATACGATTGCTATTCAAATATTTGTATCTAGATAGGCGCTTGCAAGCAATTATGCAAATGGTATTTGAATGTTTTCCGATTATTATCTGGCTATTATCACTGTTTAATTTATTTTCTATTGGTTTGTTTATTGAAGTTTGTATAACAAATGGTTATCAGCTACCTTAGGTAAAAAATTCCGTTCTATATTAGTGTTAAATTAAATACTAAACAGCATAGAAATTTATAAAAATAAATATTAGACAAATTTATTTACATTTCCACTTAGCTTGCTAAGTCATTCGTGAATTTCCTTAAACGTAATCACCCACAGCACATTCAATTTGTTTTTTATTTAATTCCCTATGGCCTTCATCTGCCGTAAATGGGAAATCAAAAAGGCTTTTGGGCGAATAAAAGGACCAAGAGGTTGTCCTTTTTATTCACTCACTTTTTTTTAGCACTGTCTTTGACTATCCTGTGCGCACCCATAAACTTCCTGTCAGTCCATTGAGATACGCTTTAACTGCATCTTTAAGCCTGAAGCGATGAGAAATTCATTAATGGTTTCTGCCCTCTGGACGGTTGCATGCACCTTGTCGCCATAAAATTCCCCAAGCGCCTATAAGTAGGCCATATACTAGCACTTATAGGAGGAGTCGATGTGGATGCGGATGTTGTTGCTCTTGATATTGCGGGGGACAAAATGAAATCCCATTAAAGTGAACGTTTGTTCTCGCCCTGGCCATATCGCCTTGTTTCATTATGTCACGGGCTCAAAGATAAATCGTTGCCGCAGAAGATGCTGAAGCGACAGGGAGTCAGTGCACAGAGAGAAATGACTAAGACCTGAAGTTATTACTATTTAACGTATTACAAATATAAAAACCTAATCCTATAAAAATAAGAAAGTTTTAAAAACAGGAAGAAACAATTTTGAACAGAACTTCATATCAAGAAGTATTCTTTCTCTCAGTGTAGGACACAAAGGAGAACAAAAAATGGTGACAAATGCATCAAAATTAAAATTTCGAAGTGCCGCAGATCGGGAGTTTAAGGGGATAGGAGCAGCAGGATGACATACTCAAGCTGCTTTGTGCTGCTTGTTAGTAATGATAATGGGAGTGCGGTGCGTGAGCCTCGCAGAAGGACAATGGAGTCGACAAAAAGGAAAAGGACCAGCAGCCAGAATCCAGGAAGATGCGGATGTTAGCGATGATGATGTTGACGACACTCAGGGCTTGCCAATGCCGGCTGGTGATGATGATTTTGATGGAGTTTATGGTTACCGACACCCAGGCAATGGATAACTTCGTTCATAAAAAAAGAATAAAAAGAAAAACAAAAAAAATTGTTAACTGGCAATCTTTCTTGTTTCCCACGTTGTTGTTCTCTCCTTACATAATATCCGGATTCCAGGACTTATTTTTTCCTTTGCCCTAACCTGGTCCAGAGTTCTATTAATTTATCAAAATGATTATATTCTTGCCTCCGGCCCCGCGTCGTTAAATTCTTTTGGCATTCTTCCTGTTAACCGGATTGCTTAACCTCCAGGCGCGGCCAAACTTTCCGTAATATCTTGAGTAATTTTTAACAATTTCTTCTGGTATTCCTTCCCTTTGATAATAAATAAAGCAAACCACGTGCCTGATTAAGTGTTTCCTTTTTTCCATAAAATTTAAATGATTGATTAGTTTTTAACATCTTTCTTTTGGCATTCTTCGGGCAGGACTTTTTCTTATTTTTAAAATTAATACAAATGGTGCTGAATATCGTAGTAGGAATTTTCAATTAATTTAGCAAACTTTCTTATAAGAACTTGATGCCAACTTGCTTTTATTCCATTGGCTCTCAAAAGGAGCTCTGAGGCATACGGCACAAACTTTTTCTTACTTCTAATGACACAATGGTCTCAAGTTCTAATTAAGTTTTGCCATCTGCAAAGTATGCGCCCTCTCGTGTATATTGACCTTGTTAACTGTGACCCGGAGTGTTCGGCATGAGTTCATTAAGCGCAGGAATTCAATTTGCAACCTTGTTAGGTTAAGCCTCAATCTCTTCAGGAGTCTATGATTTTGCCCCCTCCCCTTGCATTATCCAACATTGGGCCAAGTATTCTGCAGTTTAACTAACAGCTTTTTTGGGCATTCTGACATGCACCTGAATATTTGGCAAAACTTTTCCAGGCCGTTGTTAGATGCATCCAATTAAATTTTGCATTTAGTTGCTGTACGTGATCAGAAGCCATCAGCCATCGGCATAATGGAATCCTTGGTTTCTGGTTGCTCCTTTGCTGGGCCAAACTTTCAAACTTCAAGGGGAAACAATAAAATTCCCAGAACATCCTATCATTGTAAGCATGAGATTAAATGCCGCTCGGCGCCAATCTACCGAAAGCCTTATACAATGGAAGGATTACCAATTGTTTTGGTCCACTGGTATCTGGCAATTAACAATTGTTCCGATTGGTTGCAGCACCTAATTGCAGGCCTTCGTGGACAATGGACTTCTTTGGTAATGGCCATTTGGTTGCTGCTAATTACTTTCAACTTCTGGCCAGAATCTGTTCTTGATGGGCCACGACATGGGAATACATTTCTTCTGGCTTAAAGGGGTTTATAATCCTTAAAGTTTAAAGCTACTTTAAGAGCATTATGTTTCTTAGACAATCAATGGTTATAAAACTATGCAAACATATATTTTGCAAACGAACTATATTAGTTTTCACTGCATGCCTTTGGACACCTTTGTGAGTTCATTTTAAGACCCTAGTCATTTCTTTAGCACACCAATATTGTCCTGTGGAATTTGTAAATTTAACCAATGAATTTATTTTCTCAGCACAAAAGAGAAATTTCTGCGGCTTTCGTATACAACTCAACTCTGGCTCAAAGCTGTCCGGAGAGCTTCTTGTCTCAAAGTTTCTGATGAATTTCGTCTAGATGCCCAGTTACAGACAGCAACTGTCACTTTGGCATTGTTTTTAATAAACTCGATGCTCCTCTGAGTTGTGAAGGGAGAACTGGGAGCTCAGCTCGTAGCTTGAGTCCGGGGAAGCGTGTCTGACAGCAACTAGAAAATAAAAGCCAGTCAGGGCAACAGCTTAATCCCTTTTGGCCAAAAAGCAGACAAACAAAGGGCAGAACAGAAAAAGTGAAACCAAGTTTTTGGGGGGGTGGGAACAAGGTCGATGGGAGGAACTGGATGTACTGGCAGAAAACTTAGTTTTTAAGTCCGTTTAAGAGGAATTCCCAGCAGAGAACTTTGAAGTTAGTTGAGTTTTAATAGTCAATTTTATGGGGATTCCACAGATGATGTTACATGACTATAGGGCTTCCATTATTATCGATTTCAATGAACTTTTGCAACCAAATTGAAAAGGCAATGATGCAACTAAAATACTTTTCTAGCATTTACACTTAAAAAGATATGAAAACAGGAATATGGTAAAACATCTTTATCAAAATTTCCTTAAATTCCAATTAAAATCCTCCATTTCTGTTTGCTTTCAGAACTCAAAGGCTCAGTCAATTAAGAATGAGCGAAATATTGCACAAGGCTTTCTGAGCTGCCAAGAGGTTTTTGGCCTGGCCATCGGGTAAGGAGCTCAATTCCGGCGGCGACGGAAATGGCTGCTTAAGTGGTTCGCATCCGAACCGGAACCACCGACAGCAAGTCGAGCACACAACTACCACTCAACTCATTAGCCGCCGAGCCGTAAAGATGGGCAACTTGAGCTGGATGAGCAGCAGCAGCAGCACCACCACCACCACCACGCAGTTGCCGTTGGTCAGCACTACCAACTGGAGCCTGACCTCGCCAGGGACAACGAGCATGAGCCTGGCGGATATGGCTGTGGTAGATGACGACAGAAGTGGTGGGATCATCCACAATCAGTTCGTGCAGATCTTCTTTTACGTATTGTACGCCACGGTCTTTGTCCTGGGAGTCTTTGGAAATGTCCTGGTTTGCTATGTGGTTTTGAGGAATCGAGCCATGCAGACGGTAACGAATATTTTCATCACGAATCTGGCTCTATCGGATATATTACTCTGCGTCCTGGCGGTGCCATTTACTCCACTTTACACGTTTATGGGTCGCTGGGCCTTTGGCAGGAGTTTGTGTCATTTGGTGTCCTTTGCCCAGGGTTGCAGCATCTACATATCCACGTTGACCCTCACATCGATTGCCATAGATCGATACTTCGTGATCATCTATCCGTTCCATCCACGCATGAAGCTATCCACCTGCATAGGGATCATAGTGAGCATCTGGTTGATAGCCCTGCTAGCCACCGTTCCTTATGGGATGTACATGAAGATGACCAATGAGCTGGTAAATGGAACGCAAGTTGGCAATGAGACCCTAGTCGAGGCCACTCTCATGCTGAACGGTAGTTTTGTGTCCCAGGGATCCGGTCTCATTGATGCTCCAGATGCCACTTCAGCGGCCCAGGCTTATATGCAAGTGATGACAGCCGGATCAACGGGTCCGGAGATGCCCTATGTGCGGGTGTACTGCGAGGAGAACTGGCCATCGGAGCAGTACAGGAAGGTGTTTGGAGCCATCACCACCACACTGCAGTTCGTGTTGCCCTTCTTCATCATCTCCATTTGCTATGTTTGGATCTCTGTAAAGCTAAACCAGCGAGCCAGGGCCAAACCTGGATCAAAATCATCGAGAAGGGAGGAGGCGGATCGGGATCGCAAAAAGCGCACCAATCGCATGCTCATCGCCATGGTGGGAGTTTTTGGACTCAGCTGGCTGCCCATCAATGTGGTCAACATATTCGATGATTTCGATGACAAGTCCAATGAGTGGCGCTTCTACATCCTGTTCTTCTTCGTGGCCCATTCAATTGCTATGAGCTCCACCTGCTACAATCCATTCCTGTATGCCTGGTTGAATGAGAACTTCCGGAAGGAGTTCAAGCACGTCCTCCCATGCTTTAATCCGTCAAACAATAACATCATCAACATCACCAGAGGCTATAATCGAAGTGATCGGAATACGTGTGGACCGAGATTGCATCATGGCAAGGGAGATGGTAGATTGGGAGGTGGCAGTTTGGATGCCGACGACCAGGACGAGAACGGCATCACCCAGGAAACATGTTTGCCCAAAGAAAAGCTGCTGATTATCCCAAGGGAGCCAACCTACGGCAATGGCACTGGTGCCGTGTCACCCATTCTCAGTGGCCGGGGTATTAATGCGGCCTTGGTCCACGGAGGTGACCACCAGATGCATCAGCTTCAGCCATCACATCATCAGCAGGTGGAGTTGGCGAGGAGGATACGCAGAGGAACAGATGAAACGGATGGGGATTATCTAGACTCTGGCGATGAGCAGACCGTTGAGGTGCGCTTCAGTGAGACGCCGTTCGTCAGCACGGATAATACCACCGGAATCAGTATCCTGGAGACCAGCACGAGTCACTGCCATGACTCGGATGTGATGGTCGAGCTGGGTGAAGGAATCGGTGCAGGAGGCAGAGGAGAACACGGGAGACGATTCAACTGAGATAGGGTAAGTAACTTTGGGATTATATTATATAAAGGTTACGAAAAGAAAGCATCTTTAAAAATTAAATTAATGTAGAATGTGGAAATACTTAAATACGAATTTAAATTTTTCCACTCCCTTGAGATCCATATTCAAGAGTCGTCATATTTAAAAGTAAAAACTTTCTAGACCACTTACAAGTTTAATAACATCCGTTGAAAGTTAAGTGAATGTTTGCTCGTATGAAGCCAACAACAGCAGTTACATTTATCAATATCACAAAGGAATCCCATCAATATTCCACATCCTTTCAGTCACAAGGAGATAGTCAAGTGGATTGCAAGCTCATCGCTTGATTACGATTGTGCTGGAACGAAAATTGCTTACCGAATCACAGAGGATTCTGATGAAGGAATCATCCCTTTTCTTTTCCGGACAAAGAGCAGCCCATTAGTGGGAGCGAAATCAGAGCAAACCTGCATGAATTTTATAAAATGTGCAGTAAAAGCAATGCGAACTTACAAATTTTCCTCTCCCCCAGCCACAAAGGCCGTCATCTGGCAGCAGATTTTCCCAGTGTTTTTTGGGCCAAAAATTTTCATTTTCCGAGCTGCAGTCTGGGAAAAACACTTACCTGCATAGTACATGGTATTACCCCTGTACCCCGGTGAGCAGTAAATCAACTGACGGCAGTAGCGACTGCCATGAGTCAGCCAAAAGTTGCTTCCTGTCAGCGCACAAATCTCGACCTCCTAGCAGCCCTCCTACCTCCAAAAAGTTCCGCTCTTCGAGAAGGTAATAAAAAGTATGTGTTTTTCGGGGGAACCAACTGCTGTAACTTGGTTACCAGTCCAACATTTCTGACAGCTTTGATACTCTATTGAAATTTATGGGAAAAAGAACACGATAATTGCATTTTAAGCAGCATCATCCAAGCTGGCTAATATAATATTCAACATGATTTCTAATTTTAATACCTTGTGTGTGTGCTGGACAGGAAAACAAAATATAGAAAGAGTCGTCTTTCCTCTTGTTTATATTTAAAAATATATATTTAATTTTGTCTGTTTAGTCAGCATCAATCAGGGATGTAATACAAGCCATTATGATGAAGTTTCTATCATAAATCATATCGAAAATATTTCCTCGTTTTTCATCATTAGTTTGCAAAACATCCTCTTGCTGATTTTACATTTATTCAAATTCAAGTTGAGCCTCTCATCCGTATTGCGTAAACTTACACAAATAATATTCAAGGGCATAACATCTTCGACATAAGCTGCTTAGAAAGCATAAGAAAATCGTAACGCATAAAGTTTCTTCTTTAAATGGCCAGCCGGAGAACTTTTGAAGTCCGCCGGAGGCAGTGTGTCCGTGACGGATGGCCAAGACTTGGTAATGGATTACAGAAATATGAAAAACGTGCCGACAATAAAGCGACCCTTTAACGTTTCTCTTTTCCTTGGCCAGAGATTGGGCAGGTGCAGAACATAAATATACCTAATATATGTACACAAATTACCAACTAAATTTGGCCAATAAATGCCAAGGAAAATTTACATTATTCCATTGCCCATTCTTGTATATAATCTTCAAGTGTTATGACATACAGATGTCTAGCCAGAGTGTACAGAATGGGTCGTAAAGTTTATAAATACTTTTAATTCGATTAAAAGAAAAGAGCTAAAGGCAGAGAAAATAGATTTTAAAGATAAGTCCTAGTTCTACTTAACTACAATATGTTTTCTGTGATATAAATATCAAATTCCCATATTACATATTATTCCGGAATAGCCTGCAAGAGTAAAGCAATTTCCTGCACACTTTTAATGCAATTTGAAACACTCTGAAAAATAGTTATTTTCCGAAATAAATGAAGTGGAAAACTATAGTATATGTACGTACGAGATATCACATCATACCAACAGCATTATAGAATTCGTGTATATGTTAGTGGCTTTCTGGGACAAAGTATACACTCAGTGAAATATCAACTAGCCAGAGGATGTTCTTGTTTGCATTTGGGTTATGTTTGCGGTGGGTTTTTGAAAGCACAGACAGATGCCCAACAAGAGACCAGGATGTGGGTGAGTTGATGGTGGAAGATGGTGTATAGAGGATATAGAGGCGGAGGACCTCCGGCTAATGAATTATTCAGGCGGGTCGTTAGCAGAGCACAATCCCACACGACTCTGCCTAATTACCCTGCCGGGCTGAGAGGCTGGACAGTAAATAAACGCAGCTCCTGTGGCCAGGACTTCTGCGGCGGAGCCAGGGATCGAGTGTCGGGATGGGGTCTAAATGAACGAATGAATGAAGAATGCCCCGCATATCTCAAATGCGTATCTCGGCAAACTGAGACCGACTGTAATCTCTTCGCCGAGATAGTTGCATGTCCGACCATCTGCATTATGCATGAGGTTCAGTGCTCCGCATTTAGAACAGTCTGCTCCTCCGGACACCGAGAATCGTTCTGTAAGCAAGTGAGAAACTTTTATTTAACAATTTGTTTTTTTTTTTTTTGCCGTTTGATGCTGCACTGAAAAAAAATACCAATTAGAATTAAGGGTTTGAATTTCTTTAGCAAGTCTAAGAGCATTTCTAGACAGCATTCTGGCATTTTGTAGTAAGCGGTCACACTAACATTGGTAACAAACAGTTAAACTAAATTTACTAACGCAATCTTTTCCTCTCCCTTACTCCTGCATAAAGATCGTGCCAACGAAGACTATGTGTGTTCCGTTCGTAAGACTAGCAGATAAAGGACTTTTTTTGACCACCGAAAATAACAGCATTTTTAGTAGGATTTATACAGGTTTTTATTTATAAAATTAAATTAATTGACAATAGTTCGACTTTTTAACCGAAACTTTCTTTCTCCAACTTTTTTCAGTGCAGAAAGCTGCATGTCTGCTAATGGCAAATGGTTGGAAAAAGTTCTCGTGACTTCGATTGAGAACAATGTAAGCCGGACTGCAACTGATAACAGCTGGAAAGTTTCCAGACCTAAAGTGTTAGGCAGAAAGTTTTCTGCTTTTCTGCTTTTATTTAGACTACATTTGCAGCAATTTGAAACACTCACCGCAATAAGTATTCTGCTGCGACCGCACAGTTGCAATTGAAATTTTTCGGTGAAAGCCACAGGACCAGAACGAATTGTTAAATTTGAAACCATTTTTCGGACGTTTTAGTCAGGCAGTTAAATAAATGTATAAATTCATGAATTTCACGACTTAAAAATTCCATTATTGTCAACTACAATTTCCATACAAATTGAAAAGTGTGTGTCTATATGAAAGGCCAGCCAGCAAAAGTGAGAAAACATTTAAATGGCTTAACATTTTTGGCTATAAAGAGATTTAAATCTGAATATTGAAACATTGTTGGCCAATCTTTTCAATTGATAACTGGTTTTTACGTTTTTTGCAAGTATCTGCAGATTTTTCTCTAAATGGCAAACGAAATATAATTAAATTTCTCTATTTTGTGAATGCCGTTTGCCCTTGGGTGTTTCTATTGCTACTCGTTAACCTTTTACGAACTTTGTTTTATCCTCCAATCGAATTTGAATTCGGAATCCGCATTTAGACCGAATGGCAATGCATTTGCCATTTTCCAGGCCCCCCAATCAATCACACTAAAAGTGCATAATGGTGTTGTAAAATCAAAGAGTCTGATTAAACCGATACTAAAGCGATACCAAGGGCATAAATATCGAGAGTTCGGCAAACATGCCACGCCCTTAACCATTCAATGGAGGCGTATAAATGTGTGCGTGTGTGTGTGTGTTTATATATGTGCGGATTTAACGGCAACAATAACAAGGACTTTGGCTGCTTATCAGACAGACACCCACCCACACTGTCGCTTAAAGAGGAATAACATTATTTCAATATGTATTTACACTCGATGCGAAATGTTTTTGGCATTGGCTGGCAATAAAAAAATTATTGCCTCGCATTTACTTGTTCACGCGATCGTCGCAGTCCTCGAAATCGGGGCTTTTAAGTGTTATGATACATGTGTTCCCTTTGCCAATTCCACGGGGACTTGATTCCCAGAGCATATAATATAAGTTAAGAACATGAAGAATACAGTGGCTTAGAGATTTGAAACTTATCTTAAGATATATACATAAATTTACATTCCATTCAAATATTAAATATAGAAATTATTAAAGTAAAAAAATATAAAATGAAAAATTTATTCTGATTAGACTCTATCTTCTCTTATATGTTTATTTTTAGAACAAATTCTAACCCTCTTTTAACTACGCCTCTGCCTGGCTAAGAAAGTATCTTAAGCCTGAAAGCTTTGGCACTTAAAGATAGGTATATCAAATCGCATTTATGCTGTCGGCAGATGCTGAATAAGCCAACTTGAATGACAGACAGATATTTGATGGGAATGCCTGCCTGTGTGGGGAAATAAACGCATTTAATGAAGTTCCCTTTTGGCCAAATGGCACAACAGGAAGTCTCTAATTGATGCCTGAATACGTTCCATGTTCGGCTGCTCTTCATGTGGCAATGGATAGTGTGGCAGCTGCCTCACAGATTTACCACAGATTTTCCATTTATCTGATTGGTTTGGGTTGCAGAAAAATAAGGCAAATGCAACTGAGAGAGATTTCCTTAGATTTCCAGCACGTGTTGTTCAAACTGGAAAATCATAAAGGCTACAAAGAGAAAATTTAAGTATTCTTAATCTTGTAATGCGTTTAAAATGCTTTACTGCAGTTTAGTTAGAAATTTATATAATAGGGAGATGCATTTATCTATGTTTTACTGAGGTAACTAATGTAACAAAGAAAACTTTTTCCTTTTAGGAATAATACCAGAAATATGAATACTTTTTCTGTAAAAGTTGCACTTACCTTTGCCTTGAAGATATTTTGCCTTAAAATAAGTTTTAAAATTATTTTTTAACATACAGGAAACATATTTTTCGTACTGTAAACCCTCATTTGACCGATCCCATAATGAAACCAATCTAACCAATGCAATTACGTTCCTACTTTCACA